TAAATTAAATCGATGTAACATTTTCCCAGTCAAACAATAACTTATTAACGATCTATCGATATTTTATCGATTTCAATCGATTGTTAATTGTACTCAAGGCAGAAAAGGAAATCAGAGAAGAAGAATGTTATCAGATTTTGCAAGGAATTTATTTGCACAATGTCTTTCTAAATGCGTATCAATATTTTGCATTCCCATTTTGATGCTAAAAGTTTCAACAGCATTTTGAATGCATTTTCGAGTGCGCTTGTTAAAACTTTGATTTAACATATACTTGGCAAAGTAGCTGTGCCAATTTGCCAAATGGCCGGGGCCAGACATGCGCTCCATCGATGCATTAAATGAGTAGCCAAAATGTGAATGGGGGGTTGGGTTGAGTGGGTGTTTGGAATGGGCAGATCTTAAGCATTTAGACGATCTCACTGGCAAATGCAATGAACTCTTGGCATCATCATCATCATCAGCAGCAGCAACAGCAGCTGCAGCCGCAGCATCCACAAATAGACTCAGCCCACGCGCCTGCAGCAACTGCAACATTTGAAGAGATAGTGAGAGAAAGAGAGAGGGAGAGAAGGAGAGAGATATGTTGCAGACGAGGCAGGCTGACTGCAATCAACGCACTTGTTCCTGTTATTCTTGCTCTTGTTATTGTTGTAAACTATTTATGCATTTGGAAGTTTATTTGAAACACGCAAGCAAAACGCGCTCGAATGAAAGAATTCCATTTCCCTGGCATTTCAAATGTTGTTTTTGTTGCTTTTGTTGTTGCTGTTGTTGTTGCTGTTGCTGTTGTTATTTTTTTCTCGCATCCCGGCATCTTTTTCATGGCTGTTTGTTGATTTTATGTACTGTTTTTCTTGCTTCACTTCGATGCTCAGCGACGTTGGGGAGGGGGCGGTTGCGTCTGCCCTGCGGCCACATATGGTCACCTTAATTTGCCCGCCCCCCCCTGCACCCCTGCACCACGGCCCCCTGCCTGCTGCCCACACTATTGGCCCCATGCTGCAAATAATTTATGCGTTTTCCTTGAGTTTCGGTTTGTTTTTTCAAGCGCATTTCAACAGGCAAAGCAATCAGCAAATCGCTCAGCGGAAACAGCACCAAGGGATGCTGAATGTTGAATCTTGAATGCTGGGATGCTGGGATGCTGGGCTGTTGAGCTGTTGAGCTGTTGGATGATGATGATGCACGCAATCGACTCGACGGGTGGTTTGACTCTTCGTTCACCCAGCTCAACAGCCGACCGACCCCCTTCTCGTTGTCTTGGGGCAGTTTTGGTGCGTGCCTCAAACGCTCGAACTTCTTCGACTCTCATACTTTGGGCCAATTTTGTTTACATTGACGCCATCGAAACGTTTCAATTGACTCGCTTCCAAGCAGCTAGCTGGCGCAAAAGGTATGAACGTATTGATCCTTGACAGACATCTGTGCATTTGTATGAATTTTGACAGCAAATTGTGCTTCTAAATTTAAGCATGAGCAAACAAGAAACAATGCTGTGGTCGAGTGAGCATGACTACTAGATACTCTGCACCCAGCTGTTAAATATATTCCACTTTTATTACCAAATGCTCAAATGTAAGCATGCGTGGAAGTGTTCTCTTCTGAAGAGCGAATCAAGTCGACGCTGATAATAATGAGATCAATATGATAATATAACTTGGCTGTTTCTAATGAGATCTTTAATTGTCCATTCGATCAAGACACTCCTTTTAAAATTGTGGCTTTTATTGCTATCGGAAATCGATATAAATCGCAGTTGTTGATAAATATAGAGTTCTCATATACCAAATTTAAAGTTTTTAGCTCTTTAAGTCTCCGAGATTCGCGGACATGGCTATATAGACTCGAATCGGCTGATAAATAATATATATAAGGAGATGCTTCCTTCTGCCTGTTACATACTTTTGCAAAATACAAATATACCCATTTTACCCATTTTTAATGGGTTCAGCTAATTATCTTAATTCAAGAACATTTCAATTTAAGAATGTGCTCTTTGCTTGATATTATTCACGCTCTGTTCTACTGTTCTGGAAATTGTCCGTCATTTGGTAAGGATACTCCGCTCTCTTTTTATATACATATGTATGTGTAACCCAAGTTTAGCGCTGTCGCCATTATATTTCATTAGCCCAGAAAGCAGACTATACAAATCGGCGACAGTTTTTATGGCAACTTGCCACATGCTCAGCGCTAAGTATTTTGGCAATTCGATAGCTGCCTCAGCGAATCTTGGCTCGTTGAGACATACATAAATACATGTCTATATATGTTGTTGATGTCTTCTTGGGCCATTGGCTGAAGGAACTTGTTGTGGCAACGTTTTATGCGACATCTCAGTGCCTTGACTCTTTGGCAACTTTCGACACTTTTTTATATTAGCCATAAAGTTAGCTGTGCCGTGTTTTTACTGCCGTCGCACATTGTCAATTAATGTCAGGTAATGGGCGCACCAGATGTCGTTTAAGCCATTAAATGATGTAATGGCAATGTGAGCAACATGACTGAGAGACAGCAGTTGATTCTATGCCAAAGTTGCTTCTCGTGGGAAACATTGTGTGGCGACTTTGGTGAGATTGTCCCAAAAACAAATAAACACAAATAATACGGACTACATACTCGTACATACATACGCAAACAACTAACCCAAAACAGTAAAAACAGTATAATTTAATTGCAGAACGCATGTGAATCTAATTAATGATTATTATTATGATGTGGTTAGCCTGAAAGCCTTTACCAAAGTTAAATAAACTTTTAAATGGCATACTTAAAGCTTTGCCAAAAGAGAGCAAAGAGAGAAAAAGCTTTTGCGCTTTAATAATTTATGAGCACAGTTGTCACTTAAAAAGTTTCGATTATTAATGTCCAATTCAAGGAAAGAAAGATGTGCACATGTTTTTTTTATAGGACCAAAATTAACCAATAAATCAAACATGCTTACGGAGTGATGCAATAACTACAAACTTGAAACTCATCTCAGAATTCTGGGGAAAAAGCTCTTTGCACTGAAATCAGCTAAATAAACATGCAATGTCAGAGATGAGAAAGCTGACACTGTCAGCTCGTTAATTAAAAGCTCCATTGGCATCATCATTGGCAGCGAGAGAGCATTTTCCACAGCTTTTTTTTTTTGGGGCCTCGCCCCTTTTTGCCTACTTCAGTGGCATTTCTAATTAAGCGCCGAGCCCATTTTGGGTGCATAAACAAATACACAATACACAATAGACAATAGACGATGGGATAACAAAAATATGGAAATAAAATGTTGAGCATTGATTGACTGCTCGACATGGTTCGTGATCAATTTTAACAGAGCCAGGCCAACAGCAATGAGGGGAGTGGAGTGTGCGAGGGGGATGGGGTGGGGGGTTGCGTAGAGCGGCACACAATTATAATTCAATTAACAGTAAATTTAAACGTCTGCCGTCGGCTCATGTCCGCGTCAATGGCTGAAAAAGGCAGCGCCACATGTTGAGAGTTTGTACTGTAGTTGTTGTTCTTTTATTTTTTATTTATTTTTGTTTTTTTTTTGTACTGAGAATCGATTGCGCGGCATGTTTGGCATATTTAATTAATTATTGTATTGGATTGTTGTGGTTGTTGTATAAAGTTTAGTAAACAAGGCAACACATCAATGCGCATTGCCAGCCAGTTAGCCAGCAAGTAAGATCAGTTTTTGCATTTATGGAAATATATTTTCATGTTTAATTACGAAAACATTTTGATAGCATCTCTGGCAAGCAGAATAAGCCTCAAAAGTTGAACACTCAAAAACTGCGCCAGTTGGCCAGACAAGTTTAGCAAAAGAGCCAAACAAAAGCGTTGGCAATGAGAAGGGGTTAGGGGCAGGGACATGCTAACTAGATTGAAACGCCTGCCAAGAGCGAAACAGAAAAGGAAAAGGGAGAAAACAAAATCCGAACAGAGCTAAAGGATATTTTTGCATCTAAAGCAGCAGCAGCAGCAGCAGCAGCATTAAAGCACAGACCTGGCTAAATGATGAAGATGCCACGAAAGATGAGTGTGGAAGGAGAGATAAACAGACAGACAGACAGAGCGAGAGAGAGAGAGAGAGAGAGAGAGAAAAAAATAGTGAATGCTCCTGCACTCAGCTGTCGGCGAACAGAAAGAAGTCAACAGCTCGTTAACGTTAAAGTGGCAAGAGATATGCACGAGACTGAAAGCCAGGCAGCCGAGGCACAGACACAGATTGAGGCACAGACTCCAACTGCGACGACTACGACTCCGTTTTCAACTCGGACTCAAAGCAGGCAGAAAATGTGTTTCTCTCGCCGCTTTGTGCAGCAGCAGACGAGGTAGGGTAAGCAACAATGGGGCAACAAGTCGCGTCTAAGATGCGTCGCCCACGGCAACAACAGTTGCCAGACATATACAGCCGCATAGCCGCACAGCCGCAACCAGGATGCCACATTTTTGAAGAGCAAAATTGGCGTTGAAAAGTATCTGACGATGACGACGACGACGACGACGACGACGACTACTACTCTGCCACATGGTCAATTGCACAGGGTCAGGCGTCTTCTACCTCCTTGCCGCATTCTCAGTTGTTGGCAAACTAAGCGCTATTGAAGTTGCCCCAGATGGTGGGCAGTGGCAGTTGCTTGACTAACTAAGGGTCAAGTTTCTGGGACTCTGACTCCAAAGACACGAACTTGTTCACTGCTTCAGGATAAAATGCAAACTGAACACGACAAACAGATTATGAGTGGAGATTTGGAAAGCGTCATGATTTTTGCTTCAGCTAACAGTTGCAGCTAAGCGCTTAAGAAGTGCTGGACTATTGTTTTTTTAAGTCTGTTTTTTTTTTTCTTAATTAAGACAGCAGCAGTGAAATATTTTGGGGTTCAGAGTTACTTCAGCTAAATGTTTACACTTGAAAAAAGTGCTCTTACTCAAGGCATTTCTCATTGCATAATTGCTTTCTAAGCTCGCTTTTCGAATTTTATATTTTAATCGTGTTTCAATCAACTTACCATTTTTTCCATTCCGTTGTTGCTTTGTTTAGCGTTATTCTTCTTATATCTGTTGTCTGGGCACAAAAATTAGCTCAGCTGTAATGAGATGCGAAAGAAGACAAAAAATTTGCATGAGTTATCTAAAGTTTATGTTGGATAAGCTTAAGCAGCGAGCGAGCTCAATCTAATCATGAAAAAGGCCACTTTGAAATCTCTGGCCAAGTTGCTGAGAAATACAGATAATTTGTGTGTTGTGTTGTGTTGTGTCGTAAAAAATGTTTATAAATTTTTAATTAGAAAATATTAAAACAAGACAACTTAATTATGTAATGAGCATTAAAGTTGATGAGCCTGCTGGCATTTAGAACAACGCCACAAACTTTCCACGGCTCCACTGATTTATGTTGTGACACAGAAGGCGTCCCCAAAAACAGGGAGCAACAAAAGAAAATGGCGTGAAAAAATACTGGCAAATAAAATGGACACAAAATCCAACAAGCAAAAAAAAAAACAAAAAAAAAAGGAAAGGAAAGAGTAATGCGACATAATTTACAGTCCATGCTAAAAGAATGTGAAGGATTTGGACGGGAAGTCAAGTGTTTTGGAGAGAGAGAGAGAGAGAGAGAGTGAGGCATAAAAAGAGTTGTGGCAAGCTTAGCTGCCTAAATTGTGGCCTGAGTTATGTGCGCCGCCTAGGCAAATATGTTAATATTTGGCTAATGAATGGCCCGAACAGAATAACTGGCTTCAACTAGAAGGTGGGTGAGGGGGGTGGGGGGGGGGGAGGGTGTCATTGTGGGTCGGCACAGAGACAATTGTAGTAGCTGTGGCCAGAGTTGGGGAGCCAACGCGCCACACTTCAAAAAGCAGCAGCGACAGCAGCGGCGAGCAAACAAGCAAACAGGCAAACGGAGGCCCAAAGCGGGGGCTAAACGCAAATAGACAGAGAAGAAAAGCATAGAAAGACTGATGGAGAAAGAGAGAGAGCGGAAGAGATAGAGTGGGAGAGATGGAGGAGAGTGGGAGCACTTTGGACTACTTTAATCACGCCATGGGATTAAGGGCAATGCCGCCGCAGATGATGAAGAAGTTGCGTGTGCCAAGAGTTTGCATTGGATGTGGGTGCGAGGGGGGAAGGAACTACGCTTACAATTTAATTAACTTTTTTGTTTTTATTTCTTATTAAAGACGCCCCTTGTTTGTTGTTGTATTTGCTTTAACGGCACTCTTTGTATATGCCATAATGCAAGTTTAATCAGCAAGCGACAAAAAAAACAACAAAAAAAAAAGAAGACAACTCAGATACAGATACAGATACTTGTGAGTAGACGTTGAGCGTGTGTGTGTGTAGCAAGATTTGCCTAACCAAGTGGCAGATAAGTCCAACAACAACAACAACAATAGTATCTTTTGTATTCTACCCACACAAATAAGGCAATTGCCGCCTTTGATTTACCTACTGCTTGCCCCTCTCAATTTGCCATGTGTAATCTGCAGTGTAAGAACACCAACACCAACACCAACTACTACAATAAAAAAACAATCGAGAGCCGCTTGATAAAGTTAAGCAAACGACAACAAAATGACAATTTTTTAATTATAAACGTTGGCGCTTTTGTTTAATTAAAATGAAAACCAAGATGAACAAATCTTGCGCAACTCTCGAGATGAAGCAATTTTCAAAACAAATTGTTAGTTTCCATTTAGAGGCAAACCGATATTAATCACATGCCAAAGAACAAGTTAAGAGCAGCGAAAGCTTGCCCAAAAAGTCAGCCAAGCCATTTAGATAAATGGCCAACTGATATTTGATATACGAGCTATGCGCATAGTTTAAGATTATGATCGGATAGTCAGAGATGGGAAGGCGTGATTTTTATTATTGTCAAGCAATACAAATAAATCAAAAGCAAGCCAAAAACACAACAAAATTCCGAGAAACACCAAAAAAAAAAGAAACGAAAAGATAAAAACCAAATTCAAATTCAAATGTGACTCCACATATAAATATTTCCCATGAAATCTAAGCAACCTGCCAAACCACAAGCTGGAAGCCCAGTTCTCCGATCTCCGATTATGAGATCTTCAGATTGTGTCTGACGACTGTTGGACGACTATCATTTGATCTTTTGCCTAATTAAATGGGCGACTCTGTGCAACCACAGCATCAGCGTCATGTGGCAGGCCAATTAATTAAACGCATAATTTATGGCAAAATGTTTTTGTTTTTGTTTCTGTTTTCGCTTATTTTTTTTTTGCTGTCTGTCGAATGTCAACGTTGTCAATAAAGGCACATAATCAAAATGCGAATCATAAACGCAGAACGGCATACAGAGAAAAACGTATCAGTTTGCAAATGTTTAATTTATGACATTGGCGAAAATTTATGACTACAAATTTAAATGCTCAACACGAGGACGAGACCATGAATATGTATCTTGCATCTTGTAGCTGGCTCAATTGAAATTCCAATGAAGCTCAAGGAGCAGCCACCAAAAAAAAAACAATAAAAAAAAGAAACAAATAAAAGGCGCAGGAAGCAAGCAGACTGAAACAGGGACAGAAAGACAGACAGACCGACCAGTCGCAGACCTTAAACAAACAAAAATTAATTATGTTTCGACGAGAGAGAGCGAGAGCTAACAAGAAAAAAAGATACATTTACAGATACAGATAGAAATACAAAACAAATAAGGAAAAGAGCAGAAACCTGGAGGCCTGAAATAAAATCATTTCGTTGCGTTTCGATTCGTTTCGTTGCTGTTTATAAGAAAAATATGTTTTTGTTTGTTTTAACGCGCTTCCTTTGCACACAACATCCAGCATGCAGCATGCAGCGTGAAGATGCGTATCTGTTGCATCTGTATCTGCTGGATACATGTGCAGCAAGCGCAGCAAGTACAAGAAATGTGTGTACATTGTACACGTGTCTATTCCAGCTATTTTCGGGCATCATTTCAATTAATTTTTAGTTTGCTCGAGCTGCCTGTGCATATACATACATATGTATATATTTATATATACATGTATATGTGTGCATCTGCGAGATTCATTTTTATGAATTATATTGCATGCCTCAACAACTCGTGCAGCAACCATTCTTATTCATTCTCTCTCATTTCTGTGCGCGCTGCTTCATTTTAATTAGCTTGACAGTTTTTCATTTTTTTTTTTTTTTTTTTTTTTTTTGGTTTTTTTCTGGTTGCCTTTGAGTGAACTTCGTGTGTCTGTCTGCGGTTTTTAGGGTTAACAGCGCGTAGATTGATATCTTCAAGTTCATTAGAGTTGCAAGTTGCTTTAATTGGAAATATGCACAGATCTTGAGCAGGCCACAAGAGCAGTGCAAGAGGGGGGTGCACACTTGGGTGAGAATTAATGATGCCTGGCTCTCGACTCGAATTGCCTTGCTCCTGTTGCACCACAGCTGAATTCTGCTTAAACTTGGACATACATACATTTATTTCTATATATATACATATATCGCGCGTGGTATATATATAAACTCGCCTTGTGGTATGCCCTTTTTTTTACTGTACTGTGCATGTTGTTTATCATCATCTCTCTGGTTTTGTTTTGTTGTTAACTGATTTCAACGGAATCGCCAGCCAGCTTGCAAGTTTACTTTGGCTGCCTGCCTGCCCCCTACAGTGTTGTTTTAATTAAATGCTTTCCGTATATGGCGCATAAGAATGTTGCCCTGTTGCCCAAAACGGGCAAACAAAGTGTGTATCGGGCCTTGTGCAATACTGATTAAATTAAAGGGAAATATATTTAATAATTATCGCCTTCACAGACGTGGCCACAAATATTTACAACTGAGTCACAATTATGAACTCAAAAGCAAACTAGTTTTTCTTTCCAGATATCCTTCATAATCAAAAGCATTTATCTTATGGCCATTGTCAACTTCTTGGTCGGCATTTCCATTTAAATTTCCACTTCGCTCGTGAGTTGTTGTTGTTGTTTTTGTTGTTATTGTTGTTTTGTTGCCCCATTAGAATAAATGCCCGCATGGCTTGTTAGTTTTCATTTTAAATGAGTGTTTTCCTTAGCTTTTTTAGTTGTTTGTTTCTTTTTAGAACGCTGTGCACAACAAACAGAATTAACACCTAGTCGCAACATTTCCAGCTAAAACCACACACACACTCACTGAAGGAGAAATAGAGAGAGAGAGACAGGGAGAGAGAGAGAGAGGGATACCATAAGTCAAATCCATAACAAGGTGTCACTTGGTCGTTGGTTGCGTTTTTTGTGTGCTAGACTATCTGCTAAATGAATTAGAGAGCTGGGCTGCCCTGCTCCCAAAATGCCATAAATATCAAAGCGAGAGTGGTGGGGAGGGGGGGGGAGCATATTTGGGGTTACACCCACATGTCATGGCTGTGTTGGATTTATAACTGACACTTTCGGTTTTTTCCCATTCATTTAAATGCAAATTGTTCAACTAGGCGTATGCTCAATATTTGCATTGCCAATTAGCATATTCAACATATTTGAGTGATAGCAACAATTTTTAGGCCGTTTAGAATATGTTTTATTTGCCGTTTAACAACACATGTGTGTATCTGTGTCTTTGTATGACAGAAATGTTTCTATAGAAACCAAAAATAAATTCTAGTTAAAATTGCTCAATAAAAAACGACGGCGTCGCCTGGTTTTCTTTTTTTTTTCTTTTTTTTTTGTATTTGTTGTATTTGGAGAGTTTATGTGTTTGTCGATTATGTTTGTCTACTACCTCTCGAAAGGGGTGCGGACAGTAGGAGAGTGGTGAGGGGAAGGGGGGGGGGGGAACAGACTACAGCTCCCCGCTGTTCTATTACCATAATTTTCTAGTTGATTTCTGACGCTCATAAATCATCATCAGTTCTGCAGACTGTGGCCAGAGATAGCGTTTTGTTGTTGTTTTTGTTGTTGTTGGTGTTGCTGAGGTAGTCGTCGTTTAAGTTTTATGGCATTTATCTGCCGAACGGCAGGCGAATGGGCGACAACAACACCACCAACACCATTGACAACAGCAACAGCAACAGCAACAACGACAACAACACAGGCAACACAAAGGAGAATGTCGTCAACTTTGGCGACACAGTTAGCAGCACCAGCAACAAGTTTTTTTTTGTTACACACCCATTAAAAATGCTTAAAAAGGGTATAATGGTGAATGTAAAAAAATATGTAACGAGTGGAAGGAAGCGACTATACTCTACTATATTTTTGATCAGGAACAACAGCCGAGATCTCAGAGAACTTAACATATCAGAGATTTAAAATTTGGAAACTAAGTTGTCGTATATAAAGTTTATTTTATTTTATTATTATCGATAAATATCGATTTACGATAGCACCAAATGTTAGAATTTTTAAGGCAGAGTCTACCAATTAATATATAATACACATTAACATATAATTGATCAACTGTAGGAATTTCAGAAAGATCAAATAGAAAACACACAGTTTATAGTCCATTTTCATATTGATCTCATTTGCAGCTGCCCTGTGTCAGTCATTGGAAATGAGAACACCTCCACGCATGCTTACATTTGAGTGTGCCAATCTTTTTGAAGGGATATTTAGCAATAAAAGTGGATTATATTTGACAGCTGGGTTCAGGGTATCTTTTAGTCGAGCTCATTCGACTACAGCATTCTTACTTGAGTTTGGTGTTTTGTGTTTCGTTTTTAGTTTGATGTATCTGCCAGATACGAATAGTGAAAAATTGATAGCTTGTTGTGTGTGTCTTCAAGCAAAACGATGCATAATAAATGCCTCGATAAACAATATAAAGAATTTATGGAAAGACAAAACAAAAATGATAATATGAAAAACAAATGTATAATACAAATGGACAAAGCTAAGAAATTCAACAGAATTTTGAAGGTGAGAAACATGTTTTGTTGGCTATCTTGTTTCTCCAAGTCCAAGAAATCTATACTTGAGTTAATTATGTATGACTTAAATGCCATATATAAGTTTATATTCTGTGCCCAGTCGAGGCACAGCACACGGCTTAAGTAATAATTGTTAAGCTAACAAAATACACAAAAATCAATTTAGAAATACAACAACTGACACAAAAATAAATATGTGGAAAATAAATAAAAGCCCACATAAACAAAAAGCGTTTAGCAAAATGCCATTAAAACGCAATTTGACGCCTTTTTGTTGAACAAAGCCAAACAAGCAGCTCAATTTGAATATGGGCTTAAAGTTAAAGTTATACTTTAAAAATTTTGCGACGAAATCAGCTTCAAGCCACATTTGAAGATACCGAAAATATGAGCAAAGATCCAAAAAAAAAAGAAACAAAACATTGCAATTTCTAAATTAGTTGGCATAGCACCTAAGCAGATTACACACACACACACACACCGGACACACGCACACTGTGTGTGTGTTTTTTGGATGTCATTTATCATCGAAATAAACCGTCATATGAGTGGCGTGTTTTCTGGTGGCACAACTAATTGCTGGGACTATTCAAACGAGCCGTGGCTTCTCTCATAAATAATCATCCTAATAGACGGCAAGGCAAGCAAACAAAAACAAAACAAAATTTATTCATATAGGGGGAAAAACAAACAGCAAAAGAAAGGCAACCAAAACAAAAAAAAAAAAACAAAACAAATTCGAAATCGTTGAAGGCACCAGAAAATTATGATCAATGCAATCATGTCAAATTGATTTCGGCTTGCCCCTCAACAAAACACAACCGCAAGCCATCAAAATACCAAATTCCAAATACCAAATACGAAACGCGTCGAAGAATCCGTGTAAGCCGCGGTACGCAAGAGGCAAAAGGTCCGGAGGCTAATGATGCGAACGACTGAATGAAAATCTCAACAAGCAGCCAAACCAACCAAAATTGAAGGAGCTGCAAAATAAATCAAACAAACGAGCCCAACCAGAACACAACTAACCAGGGCCAAGACACAAGCTGAGCCGAGCCGAGCCAAGTTGAGTTGAGCTGGGCTCAGTTTGATGAATTGCAGCACAGCGCAACATTGACTTGGCCAGTTTTGCTCAGTTGATGGACGATTTGGTCGAGGCCTGTAGCTGCTCTCTCCCTCTCTCTCTCTCTCTTTCTAGTAACTACTTTTTCTTGTTGGTTCGTGGCTCAAACCAAACTGCGGGCTTGTGGTAAAAAATTAATCAATATGCTGCTGTTGTTGTTAATTTTGTTGTTATTGCAGGGCTGCTCATGTTAGTCAAACAACAGCGTCTTGTGGCAGGGGCAAAGGGGCAAAGGGGCAAGGGCCGAAAATGGTTTTATAATTATAAGGGTCGCATTCAGGTTGACTGCAAATGATCGGTTGTCCGACGTCAGCTCGTTGACGGTGGGTTGTCCCAATAATAAGTACGACTTGTTTGTCAATAATAACCCACAACAGCCCCTCAAAAAGGCAATCCTCTTGCCCCATAATTAGAGCAACAATACCCTGGGAAACAGCGCATTGCGCTGGCTCAATTACAAATTATATTGCTGCAACGAGTCCTCTCCTAAGCCAAACAGCTACAATTCTAGCTGCGAGTAATTTAATGAATTCTTACGGCCAACAAGTTGGCGAAAGTGACAATTACATAGCTATGCTGGATTCCTGTAGCTAATTTCAAACTTGTTTCAAATCAAACTAGAACTGGAACTAATATGGTGCTAGGAGATATCCTGAAACCAAGCAAGATATATATTTAAAATCATAAAAACCTACTCGACTCGGCTGTTGCTCATGATCAAGAATATATATACTCTAAGGAGCAACTTCATTATATTCATTTAAAATATTCACAACTTAATTTGGGTATTATTTAATGATTTTTTAATGCAAAGTGATTATGAATTTTCCTATTTTTGACTATAGATAAGGAGTATTAAACAAAACATTATTAACATATTTAGAAAGTTATCAAAATGGCTAGTGATTATTACTGCATTATTATTAGCATAAATCTATTAATCAAATATTGAGAAATGTTCAGCAATTTTTGTATGGAATTGATTTCAGCTTTTATGAATTTATATAATTAAATACGCATGCCACAAAGCTATTCATTTTGTAGCCCTAAACTCAACTAAACTTCTGTTGCAATCAATAGTCAATCAATCTGATTATAATTAATGTTAAGGTGCATGTTTTTTTCTGTTAAAAAGAGTTGATGGGAATTTTATTTAAAATATATTATAATGAGAAAAAAGGTAAAAAAAAATTTTAAATTTAAGTGCTTAAGTAAAATATGAAAATAAATATGAAAAAACGATGTTTATACTTAATGGTAATGTGTGGGTTTTTTCCTGTAAAAACAACAGAGTTGTGATTTTTGATTAAAAAAAAATACTATTATGAGAGAATGGCAAAGAAGTTTAATTTTGTGTTTAAATCAACGTGATTAAATTGCTTAAGAAGGCAGTAAAGTTAATTTACAATTAATGGTATATTTTATGCTTTTTATAAACATGTTTTTCTGTAAAATCGAAAAAGTAGTTGCGAATTTTTGATTCAAATAGAAGATTCATTAAAGCATACCAATCAAGGTGAGCAAGTTTCAACATCTATAAAGTACTCAAGAGTTCTAAAATGTTACCAATCGCTAAAAGCACAATTTGCGCTGGCCTGCAAATGCAAATTAGCAATAAATAAACTACTCAAATTGTAGCAGATTAGTATGCACATTAGCGTCCAAGTGGCAGCTCCCCTTGCTGGAGTCACAACAAATGATAAGCAGGATGCCAAAATGACAACTTAACTTGGTGACAAGTCAACTTGTCTCAACTCTGGACTAACTGACTGACTGACGGACTGACTTAGTGAGTGACTGAGTGTCAAGGCGCTTGTCAATAAATGTTTTATATATTTGCAAAAAAACAAGAAAAAGAAATAAACTTCAATGAGATAATCCGCACAATTAAGCGGGAGACACCCAAAGGCAGAGGCAGAGTCACAATTTGTATGGTAGGGCCAAGAGAGTCGAGTCAGAGTCAAAGCAAAAGATCGACAATAAAAACAGCCAGCGAACAAAAACATAATTTATGATCGTTTGTGGCAGGTAGCAAGGAGGCAAGTTTGTTGTTAAATGATCACCTGTTCCTCGATTCCAATCCACAGGCCAAATGAAGGAGCGGCAGTCGAAATCTGCGGGCGGTAAAAGCAACGAGCAACCAAATACTACGGCAATGACAAAGTCAAAAGGAGAGTCTCGTCTGGCATTTGAGTGTTGCCACAGCATGGAGTCGCCCCAGCGCGTTTCTCGATCCTTGTTCACTCTGTGTGTGTGTGTGTGTGTGTGTGTGTGTGTATGTGACAGTGCGCAATATTTCGAATTGCAACGTGCGGGTTGCAAAAAAAGAAAAAAAAAACACACTGAAAACAAAACAAGAGAAAAATTCTGCGCCGCATGTTGTCCCATGTTGCTCGTTCAGGCAGCAGGCAGTCTCAGTCTGCGCCTTGCCCCTTGCCCCTTGTTTTATGTAAATTGATCTTTTTCTTGCGACTGGCCAACACCTTTTGGCCACTTCCTTTGCGCCGAGATGCTAACCTTGAGCGCGTCTGTCGTTAAATAAAAAAGAAAAGATAAACGCGACTGTTCTTTGTTTCATTTAACTGAAAGTTTAATGAAATCATTTTGTGTGCAACGTTCCTCTTGGTCAACCAATAATAAAAAAGAAGGAAAGAATTGTGTGCATTTGCCGTAAAAGTGAAATAAAATATTTAATGACAACGACACCGACACCGACAACGAGCAGATCGAGTCGAGCCGAGTCGAGTTGATCCTCACCAGACCTGTTGCAGGGAACATGGAAAAGGTGTCACGTTACGCATAATTTATGGCCACAAAAACTATAATTTTCCAAATGCCAACGACATGCAACGCAAACGGAGACCCGCATATCGCAAGACCATTTCCACCAGATCTCCAAGAAAAAACAAATAGTCGAAATAAAATAAAAAAAAAAACAACCTTTAAGCGTTTGAAAATCGTCGTCTGACATGCAATGGGTTATCTCGTTATCTCGATGTCGATCTCGATCTGCATCGAAGTCATCGGCTTGCTGGCAGATTAATGAGCAAAGACTGATTCAGGTAGTCTTCTTTCTCAGTCAACCTGTAGCTTTTCCTCAGTCTGCTTGCCAAAGTTATTTTTCTTCTTTTTTTTTTTTTTGGTTGGTTGGTTGGCCCCAATAATTCTGGGTTGTGGAGAGCAAGGTTTGTGGTGCAGTTATTGTTGTTGTTGTTGTTGTTGTACTAGTAGTTGTCTGGTAGCCAACTTTGACAACAAATAATGAAATAATGTTCATGGCAGCCACGCACAGAGATAAGATTTCAGTTCTCTTTTGACAGCAATATTGATTCGAACGAAAAACGAAAATGCTCGAAACAATAACAACAACAACAACAACCATCCATCAGACCAATAACAGCAACAACAATAACAACAAATTCATCGGTGACGCCGCCGCAATTTCTTATTTTTTTTTTACTTTTTTGTTTTATATATTTTTTTCACTCTTTGTTGGGTAAACAAAGCCCCATGGCACGTTGGAAAAACGAAACTAAACGGAATCGAAATGAAACGAAACGAAACGAAAGGTGAGTAACGGACAGCAGACAACCGACAGCAGACAGCCGGCATATTATTGTACCAGTGTAGGTAGGAAATCGAAATCAACAAAACTGGGCAGAGATAAGGCAACAGCTACCAAAAAAAAAAAAAAAAAGAAGAGAAGAAAATAGTTGTATATATACAACAACAAAAAAGAAAGAAATGAAAATATTAACGAATCAGAAATGTATAACTGTTGACCCCAAAGGCGAAAAAAGGGACTAAAATTACCGTAAAAAGAGTCAGTTCGATTCTCATCTCTCTCTCTCTCTCTCAATCTCTTCTCTTCTCTGCCCTTAAATATTTCATTTGATAAGCACATATTGCAAACAATTTATTTTGCAAAATATTTATGTGAAGCTGAGTCAATTTTTTAATTTTTATGATTAAACTAAACTACAAATTCTATAAAATTGTTTTTAAATTTAATTTCAAAGATTTGCTGATTGTAATTTTTATTTATTTATTTTGTAATGTAGACTTAATTCAGTCGAAACAGAAAACTTCTTTACAAAATATAAATTTAATTAAAAATTAATGCATCAAATTAGGTTAAATTTAAATATTAAAAATAACATTTCTTTTTATTTTGTTAGTGTGTCGACTAATTGAAGTCCATTTCTAATGCATAAATAAATATTTCAATCAGCAAATCCAATTTCACTTTACTCTGTCGCTTGTGAAATATTTGGCTGACACCTAGCAAATTATGTGGCCTAAACTGATTGACAGCCATTTGACTCTTGGCATTAACTTGGCTAAAAGATACATTTGTATCTTTTACGAGTAGTTGTGCAGGCATTTTCACTGCCAACAACATACCTGAGGATATTGCAGCTCTCTGATAATCCCGAACTGTGGTAATTAAAAAAAAAGCGCTGTGCTGTGCAACTGTCCAAGTGTTAATCCAATTTCACACACACACACATTGCTTCAGTTGCAGATACATTTAATGGCGTGTACTAGATACACACATACACACACACTCGCACACCCAGTTGGGGGCTGCTGTCTCGTCTTTGCAGTAATTTGACTTTATTTTTGGACAGATTTTTTAATTAAAATTTCATGTAGCGGCAGGCAGGCAGGCGAAATGTTGTTGAGATATCTACAACTCGACACAAATACACTCTCGAAAACAACACTCGGCCGCAATTTGGATAGGTGTCAGGCTCAAGTAGACAGGCGACAGCTCTGTGAGGGGGTTGTGTGGGGGTAGGGAGTCTCGCGTAGCGCCAAAAATCCAATTTCAGTTGACGCCTGTCGTCGTCATCGATCACAGATCACCCAACGACAACAACAGCAACAAGCGACAAATCTTGTTTTTTTTTTCTGTGTTACTTTTAACAATTTTTTTGTTGTATTTTTTTGTATTGTAGAGACACTCACACGCACATAGTTTGAGATACAATTTGTATTTTCATAACTCGTTTTGCCAGCAGCAACAGCAACAACAAAAACCACATCGAAGTCAGCGATGACTTCGACGCTTCTTGTTATGATGCCCACTTGGCTGGTTGCTTTATTAACTTCTTTTTAATTTATGACAGCCTTTTATTTGTTGTATATTTGTAATTTGTGGCTCGTTTATTATTACAATGGCAGCAGGCAGCATAACAAATTCATTTGTCGAGCATTTCTTTCGGGGCTTTCGCACAATAACACATATATCTTTGAGATAAGCTGTTCGTTCTTTTTTTTTGCTTAATTTGATTAATTGAAGTTTAGAAATCGCGCAATGTTTTGGTAAAAATCAACGCCAAATAATGCCAAAGAGCCGACAGAGCAAATGACGCGCACACAACCAAACGCTGCGATCGTCGAAAACGAACTGAGACAGCTAAGCGACGCGACGCCGCTTCTGCTGCTGTGCGACAAGAGAGCAAGCCCAGAGAGTTAGGGCGAGAGAGAGAAGCCCAGAGAGTTAGGGCGAGAGAGAGACAGCGCAACAATAACAAAGAGCGTAAGAAGCAAGTGTTCAATGCTCAATGCACCGTTTCCGTTGGTTTTTTAATTTTCTTATAAGTAGCATGCGATAAATGCTGGAAAACAGAATTGTGTTAATAATTCTACTGTGATTTGCAGTTTGTAGTTATGCTTTTAAATGAAAGATATTGAGTCCAAATATTATGGTAGTACTTATTGCTTAGTCATCATTTTGTAAAATAAAATAAATAAAACTAAAGAAATAATTGTATTTTGCACATCTGCTGCAGATTTTTTCAGAGTTGTCACAGTTAATTTTTAGGCATTTTTGTTTTTCACTCGATGAACTTGCATTTTGTCAACCCCCACATTTCACCTACTCTCTGTGCTGGTTCTCAGTGTTGACAAATCTGACTAGATTGACAGCTTTACTCACGTTACTCATGGCATGACCACATGTGCTGCATTTCGCAGCAACCCTCCCGCTTTCCCCCTGCACTTTGCTCTGACAGAGTTGCCTGGCATATTTTCAGGTTTTTCACTCTCCCCGGCTTGCTCAGTTTGCTGCGTGCTCTCTTCGTCGCTCTCTCTCTCTCTCTCACTCTCTCTCTGTGCCTGGCAATTTTCAAATGACAATTTTCCAGCGATAAAGGAACGTGCGTTCCTCCATGCAGCATGCACCCTGCTGACTGTCTGTCTGTCTGTCTGCTGCTGGTGGTGGCTGAGAGGCTGATTGTGGCACGTTTCGCATACAGGGTGCTCCTCTCTTCAAAATTGCACTCTCATTAACTGAGCCCGGGGACCTATCAGTGCATGATAATCACAAGAACTAAACCAAAAAAGGAAAAGAAAATAAAACACTGCTTTAATTGCAATTCCCTTCTCTCAGCACTGCTCATCACTGTTCACCTCGCTCAAATATTGCTAATGAGCGCACGTACCATGCTCGCTCTCTCGCTCTCTCGCTCTCTTTGGCTCTCTCTCTCTCTCTCTGTGGTGTTCGCGAACCGGTTTTTAGGTTTTTATCTGCTAAGGGTCTTGTTAAAAGTAATTCGTAACACGTTGTTACCAGATAACGCCGCCAAGCAGCGCAATGGGTCTCTGCCGTTGCGCTCCTAACGAGTTGTTGCTTTTGCTTCTCTGCTTCTTCATCATCCGTTGCTGGGCTTGTTAGCGTCGTTCGCTGCCGCTAAAAGAGCGATAAAAGAACCAATGGGCAGACTGAGACAGACAGACAGAGAGAGAGAGAGAGAGAGAGAGAGAGAGAGAGAGTGGAGCGGAAGAGCAGTCAAGATCAAGGCAGGTTTAATGGGCAGCAAGCAGCGAGCAAGCAAAACATTGGCGATCAAGGCTCACGTTTTGACTTTTGGCTTTCGGACGCTTCGTCGTCCGGTTCAATACACCCTGTGTAGCTGCAGGGTGCCCACAGCCCAGCCCAGCCCAGACCAGCCCAGACCAGACCAGCCCAAGAAGATCGTGCAACAGAACATGATTGCTGGTTGTGTACGAGCCGGTTTGGAGAACACCACATGTGGCAAGTTGTTGCTTTTACTGTTGTTATTGTTGTAGTTGGCTATGAGTGATTTTGTCTAGTTAGGGAGTCGGTTCGGGATGTTGCAGACATTTGCAAAAAAAAAAACCAAATTCTCATGTTTATATGCATTTCGATTGTCGCCAGCCAGAATCAAGCCAGCTTGCAGCATGCAGCATGCAGCAATCAAATCGTGCGCTTGGCCGCTAATGAACTTACAATGCTTTTGTTTGCTGTTCGGCGGAGTCGCCAGGCAAAAGATGTTAGTAACTTTTAGCCAACACACACCCACACACACACATACACGCACACACACACAAAGCTTGATCAGTGGAGTTGCAATGTGAAACATGAACTCAGCCCATGATTGAGCGTCGAAAACTTGGTTCGTGCCTCAATCAGTTTGGCCGTTGGGCAACCAACTCAGGACTGGCTCGGTTGATGTCGATGTTGGGTCGCCGCCCATGATCATGATCAACAAAACTAACAAGAGGTGTTGCTTCTGTCGTCGCAACCAACAACAACAACAGCAACAGCAACAATTTTGTATCTGGCTCGTCAGCAGACTCCACTGATCGTGATTTTACCGGGTGGCAGTTGTGGCACAAACACACATAGCGGAATGTACTCTGTCTGCCTCCTGCCTCCTTTTTTGTACTTTTTCGATGATGATCGTCGCCGGCCTGATTGTCTGCGCCTTGTTTGTTTCTCTCCTCGCGTCTTGTCTTGTTGCATCCATGGCCCTAAGGGGAATTCGCCTTAACTACTACTAGTCAACTGTTGGCAAAAAAAAGAGAAAAAAATTACAAAATTCCAGCAACAAGAACAACTTGCAACTGGCAACTGGCGCGCCAATGCGCCCGGCGTTCTGTCAATGCTCATTTAAGGCACCAGCCAAGAAACTAAACAGCTCACTTCACTGAAATCGGGACAGTCAGGCAGTCAGGTAGGCAGACAGACAGACCATGCCTTAGTTGCTGGGTGGTAGCTGCTGAGCTGCTCAGTTCAGCTGACAAATCAATTGAGCAGCTGTGGAGGACTCTTTAGTCCAGTCATGCCAATTGACAGTGGCTTACAAATGAGCCATCACTTTAAAGCTCATAAATTGCTGAGCCAGAATTAGGATCTCAAAGGAATTGAATTTAACAAAACAAAAAAAAAACCATCAATCTTTATTTGCTGCAGTGAGCAATGATTCAGATCGATCTTACTAACAAGATACAAAATTGTTGATCACATCAACAAGAGATAATCACCTGTTAGCTGTAGATGGGTAAACCATTTATTTGAGCAAGGGCACGAATTAAAAACAAATATTGTTAAAGAATCTTTCAGTTTTCTTTTGTTAGATTTATTTATATTTGATTTGATTTTTTTTCTTTTCGAAAAACCTAACATTTTTCGATTTATTTTAGTTTATATGGATGTATTTAACTTTGTGAAAATTGATAAAAATTAGTAAGATCTTTATTTTTCCCTTTTTGGTTTTTATGGAGTTTTTTTTATGGTATTTTTAATATTAATTTATTTTAATATTAAAAAAAAAATGGTTGAGATGGCAGAAAATGGGAAAAGATAGATATTCAAAGAGTTTCTTTTTGTAATAATTATTAAAACATCTATATTAAGAAAAACACTTGAGGTTTTCAAGAAATCCAATAGCGCAGTGTACAAAATGCTGACTCATCCCCTTGATGGTCGCCTTTGCAAATGAATATTTGCTTGCATAGATAAACGTAAAACTTATGTAATAAAAGCCATAACACCGATTCGCCTAGATAAGAACTTGTTATGTAGATGATCACGACCAAAAGTCAAAGATCAGCGATTTAATGAGCGCAAACTTTTAGTAAGATCGTAAAACTGATCAGGGCAACAGATTGCTGGGAACAGCGTCAAAGATCAGCTTAATAACGTCAGTATTTCAATTAATTGAGGCAATGCGAGGCATCAAATTAAATATAGCTAGGCATATCAATGTCATCTTGAACATATACATACATATTTGTCTATATATATTTATACATATTTGAAAGTATTACGCATTCTGATCGTGCCACTTGTGGTGCGTGTTTTGCTGATTTCGCAATCAGCATTCTGTCAGACAGACCAATTAATGCGCCACTACTACAAATCCCATTTTCCATAAATAAACATTACGATTTATGGCACTGCTGGCACTGGGCATTATTAAAATAACATATTCTTATTATTAACTGATTATCATTATCGCAAAACGTTCGAAAATACAACAAAATAATAATTGTCAATCACGCAAACATTATCAGAGACCAGCCATGAGCTATGGTCATTAAAAAAAAAAAAAACGAAACAAGAAAGAAATGCAACTCAAAAAATGCAGTCGGATCATATTAAACCATTAAAATAATTAAGATATAACAGCTCCCCCAGTAATGAGGGCAATAAACGAGACAAGGCGAGAGCCAACAAATAATTCACACCATTTTACCATTATTTTTTACAGAGAGCCAAGCAGAGCTAATTATGGTTATTCCGGAATCCGTATGGTTGGATGATCGGATGGGTAATTTACGTGGAATACGACCCGAGGTAGATAAACTTATGTCAGACCCCAAGTGCGATAACCCGCATAGATAAAACTGCGAGAGTAACTCAAACAATGTATATGTGTGTATATATATGATGACAATATTAAAATTTATTGCCTGCTAAATTGACACTCAGCGTGAGGGGCGCTCAACTTATTGGAAATGCCACGTTCCAAGTCTAATATACTTATGCAAACATGCACCCAGAAAAAAACCACACACACAAAGAGCTATGTACTCAATTCAGGCCCAGGCGTTTTAAAAATTGAATAAAATAAAATAAAATTCGAACATCATCGAGGAGAGCTGAAAGTTCATGCTTTAAAATCGATTATGCAATCCAGCAGTGGACTTGTTGAACTGAATCAGATTAAATATTATTCTTCTTAAATTGAGAACTTTAACGTTTTGAACACATATTTAAATAAATCAAAACTAAGACTGATTTATTTCTAATTAAGAATAACTGAGATTGAATATTTGCTAGGAATTCTATGCTGACTGCTGGGATTTTCTTTGAGTGAATATTAATAATGAATATCATAAAAATGCCAAAAATAATTTGTCTACCAGTTTTGTTCAAATCAGCAACGTAAATTATCACAATAATGTGAGTCCTTATTACGGTTGACTTGTAAGCACACACACATATATATATATATATATAAATAAATGTATAATATATATATATTAGTAAATTCACTTAGCCCAGTTCGGAATTCCAATTCATTTGGCAAAAAAAAATAAATAAAATGCGAAGCGCATGTAATGAAATGAAAAAACTTTGAGCAAATAGAAATGCTTGG